CCATTAATCTCTAGATTAATATAGGTTTATTGTAATAAAGTTTCTACTATGACATTATATTAATAAAAAAAAAAAAATAAATAAAAATAATAAATCTTTATAAACTTAAATAATTTATTTTAAATGCCTATATTAGAGAAATGACATATTCAGTAAATAGTTGAAAACTCTTGATCAACAATTTCAGTATGAAAATTAAAAAATTTTATTTTTACTCTACAATGCGACAGGTTATTTTAAACCCAATTCACACTCATTTGATAAAGAATCAAATTGCAGTAATTCTGAATAATAACACTCTACTAGATCAAATAGCTCTAGAAATAAGAATAGTCGCAGTTATAGTTTCAATTGTGATAGCAATTATGGTCACAATCATGGTCACAATCATAGTACCAAACATAGTTGTCTAAATGACCAACAAAGCCAAACTGTTCAATAAAGCAAAGGCAAGCATGGTAAATATCAGGCAAGTATTTATACACACCCAGATTTATCTAACTATTAGGCTACAAATATTTAAATTAAATTTTTGCCTGCTCCTACTATCTCATATCTTCAATCTATAGATTTGGAGATTATCAAATACTTCAAGACAAAATATCAAAAAAAATATATTTAACATATTTTAAATCAGTTTAAAAGAGGAATAGATATTTGAGACTCTGAGTATGTTGACTGTATATTTAAAACTAAAATTCTTTTATAAGTTAAATTTTTTTTTTTTAGTAATATAGTAAATAATAAAGAAGTCATTAATTATATGGTGGCTTTGTGGAACAAAGTTGATGAGTTAACAATGGTAAATTGTTAGATTAAGACAGGTATTTGCTATCAGTATCAAATGATAATATTAAATTTGTACAAAATATATATTGGAGATAATGAATATAAATGCATAAATTAATAATTAATGCTGAAGATGTAGATTTGACAGTTGCACAAAAAATAAGTGAATCTAGAGAAATTAATAATATACATATTTCTATGGAAGGAATGCTTGATGATAACCAGATTGTTAAAACAGTATTGGCAGAACAATTGGAACATAAACAAAATAACCCAGATGATTCTGATAAAGAACTGCTAAAAATTTTTACTACTGAAGGATTAAATAGATTGAAAACTTTTATTTTATTTGCTAAACAAATAAATAATGATTTTTTTTAAAAAATAATGACTTGGCTATATTTTGAAAATATATATTATTAATAAGATGAAAACTCACTGAGTCTATAAAGCAGAAGTTTATTAAGGATCTTTTTAACATAGAAGATCAAACTATGTTACTTAATAATAAATATTCTCTTGATGAAACAAGCTTTTTTCATAATAATTTTTCTGTTGATAATTATGACTTTCCTGGTAATAGTGATGACTTTTTCAATAATGATGATTACTTTTCTTATGATAACAATGATTTTTCTGGTGATAGTAACTTTCCTGACAATAAAATTTTTTTGGCAATAGCACTTTTCTTATTATGATAATTTTTCTACTAACTATAGTAGTTCATCTAATTATTATGAGACCTAACTTATACAACAATAAAACGTTTAAAGCAGAAATTTATTTTTATTATTAGTTCTTTTGTTTATAAAAGAATCAAATTGTTGAGTAATTCTTATTAAAAAAATATGTAATTATTATTTTAAGATAGATAATTACTATAAATTGCATATATACTTATATATTTAAATAAATATATACATGAAATAACAATATACACTTTATGTATTATAATCATAAAATATATAGTTAACAATAGTATACCAAAATAAAATTTCTATGATATTTATTTTAAACATATTTGGATAAGTTTCTTATAGCATATATCATGAATTTAGCCTTAATATATAATAAAGAAATTGTCACCAAAAAATTCTATTACCGTCTACTTAGTCTTGAAAATATGCAATATATAAAAATTATCTTCAGTACAGTATATATTGAGATTGGATAGCAATATTAAAAAAATAAAGGCATTGTTAAAGCTATAAAAATTAATTACTATATATATATGAAGATAAAATGCTTACAATCAAACTAAATAATGAAGTTAAAATCAAATACATATAAATGTAAGTTAGACTTAAAGATTCAGTTCTTGTTTTCTTATATTCTTGTCTATATGTATATTAGATTATATAAAAATAGATAAGTACTGTATAAAATCATAACAAAAAAATAGGTAGATATTTCTAGATCTATATTATATTAAATTTAATAGATAAATAGTATTTATTGTAATAAATAATAAAAAGAATAGTGCCCCAAAACTATTTATTTTTTTTTATTTTTTATTAATATAATGTCATAGTAGAAACTTTATTACAATAAATCTAGATTAATCCAAAGATTAATAGTCTCCTTATTTAAAGCAAGACTTGAGTGAGGGGACAGATAAGTTATCTAACCAGGCTGATGAAACTCTTCAACTCAGAACTAATTAAAAATAAAGAGGTTTGGCTTAAGAGAGAATTTCTATAGTAAAAGATTTCTAACTATATTTGTGCTACAGAGCACTCAATATGACATTACATCTTCTATTTCCTATTTAAATACAATTATTAAATTAAATGAATAAAATAATTTTAGTTAAGATAGATAGGAGAAAACCTAAAATGTTAGTCATGATATTATAAAAAGTATATTATTAGAGAGAAGTCTTGTAAATATCATTTTTCAATAGCATAATATGGATCTAATAGTTGAGTATAGGGTTTTTGTGTATTTGTTTGATTAGTAAATAGCAATAGAGATAATTTGTTATGTTTAACCTTGGGTGTAATATTGCGAGCTATTTTCTATTAATGTTGAAAAGAATTTCATTGAAACTATATTTCATAAAAGAACTAGTTTAAAAGATTATTCAAAAGGTTAGTAAGAAAAGGTTCAGTTTGTTTTTTTGGTAAGACTTTAATATTTTGATATATTGTTTTAGAATATATTCCAAGAATTGTAGAAAAAAAAGAGTTATATTGAAGAGGTAGTGGTGGGTATTAATAGAAGATTAAGAAGTGTTGTAGGTAGTATAGATGTAATTTGCAGCTATTGAAGTGTGTTATTGGTTATATTAAGAAGTAATCGTTGGATATTTTCAGTGTTTTTTGTGTATAGAAGTATGTAAAGAGTATTTTCAGTTGAAGAGCATTTACAATATTTGTTTTTTGTATATAGATTTGAGTAGCAAATATTAAGATTTTGTATTGTTAGGAGATTATTTGTCAAAATTTATATAAAAGGTGTATTTATAAGAGTTGTATTCTAAAGAGTTAAGTATTTTAAAAGTTAAATTTCAGTTTATATTAGATGTATAATTGTTGAAGAATTTTAATGAGAACCAAGAAAGGGGTTTTTGAATTGTAATAATGTTCTTAATAAAGGTGTGTGCTTTAAATAGAATAGTATTTTTATTCTAAAAAAAATAAATAAAGAAGTTGAAATATGTATAGGAGATTTCTAAAATAGGTTCATTAGAACCTTGTTTGGCCAAGAGGTCAGCTTGGTTATGAAGAAAAATAGTTGAATATTATTTAACTTTAATAGACAGAATAGTAATATTTTTTGCAGATTTGATAGAATTAATAACAAAGATAATATTCTAATTTTTGTTTTGAATAAGTTTGAAGAAGAGAATATTAATTAAGTTTTTAATTGATAATATATTATTGATATAAATACTAACAGTAGCATTTGTTGGTAAAGTGAGTAGAAGAGAAATAATTGCTATTAATCAGCCTGAGAAGAGTCAGGAAAAAGATGAGTTGCTGTATTAAATTTAATAGATAGGTTGTTTTCAGAAACCCAGTCTATGCTAGTTTGTATATTTGGAGTTTTAGAGTTCTTAATAGAGGTATCAGAAGAAAATCAAAGGTTAACTGTGTTTAAATTTAGAATATTGTTGTAGATTTGGGTTAATTGATTTTGATAATAGGGAGATTTGATAATATGATGAATTAGTTGTATTTCATGAAAAGGAAGATTAATTTGAGATTGGTGTAAAAGAGGAGTTAGAGAGAAATTTAGGCTATTGAAAATATCAATTATAGCTAAGATTTCTTTGTAGTTAATTCGTAAACAAGATTTGTTAAACTTGATTTGCTTATATAGAAGGTTTATAAATTTAGAGTATGATAATGCGTTAAAAGATTCTAATAAATTTGTTTAACCTATAAGTGTTTTCTCAAGTTGGTTAACTTCATATAGTTTAATTTGTTGGGAGTTATCTTGGTGAAGGAAGTCAGTATTTTGACTATTAAGTAATAATTTGAAGAGAAAGTTTAAAGAGAGGAATATTAGATCGGTTGTATTAATAAAACAATTGCTAGGAGGTAGTTTGAGATGTGACTATATATTTTGGAGAGAATTTGTTTGTATTATTTGAAGAAGGTGGGTAAACCATTAGGGTTGATAACCTCTAAAAATTTTACTTGTACAAAGATAAATATTGTTTCAAGAGAGCAAAGAATTGTTATTTGCTATTGTAATTTGTTCTATAAATAAGAATTTGTTATTTTTAAGACTATTAATTATTGTTAGATTGTTGGGAGTTGGGGGAGTATATCATTGATTAAGTATGTATTTTTAGTAATGAAGAAGGGTAAGTTGTAATTTGAGAGGAGAGTGATATTATTATATTGTTCTTGGCTAGCTAGATAAAGTGGAATAGAAGAGTATAATTTTTTATCTTTCAATGATGTAAGAGAAGTATTTCTTTGGTAAGTTTAGGAAATCAAATTTTTGATAACTAGGATTTAATTTGAGTAGTACCTATATTAGAAAGAAGCAAAGATGTATTAAAAGTATATTCAATATTAGAAACACTAACTTTTTGAATTATATTATTAAGTATAGGTAAATTGAAAGTAAGTAGTTTGGTAAGTGAGATATTATTAGTGTTTTTGGCTAAAGAAAGCATTTTTTTTGTTTGTATAGAGAGTAAATGAGAAAGTTTAGTTTGTATATTTTTGTGAATAGGTGTAATTTGTAATAAGTATTCCAGAGAAGATTGGAGTATGAGGTTGAATAAGGAAGAGATTTGGGAGGGTAAGAGTTTTTTATATTTAATAAGTAATAGAAAATTTTTTATTTTGTTATATATTGTGTCTAAGGTTGGTTTGGAGGAGCCTGTACTATCAGAATAGATATCTAGATATCTAATTATATCTGTAGGCTTTCTGGGAGTAATTGTTTGGTTATCAAGAGAAAGTAAATAGTATGATGTTGTCATGGGCAGAATAAATCATGACTATCTAAAACGTGACTCAAATGACGATCGGGTCCCAGATCAGAGAATGATCTATGATTTTGGCACAACAATGATGCCCGGAATTTGGCATTTATGATCAAACCAAAATTGGGTAAACCAAGGTCCCATACGATCGTACGATTCAAAAGTAGACATATCACTACAATGCGGCAAAAAAAAGAATGTTTCATAGAGGCTGTTCTGGGTAGAGTTGATATTAAATAGTAGTTGGGTTAGTAAAATAAAATAGATAAAAATACAAGAACGATTATCTGAATTAAGTAAAACCCATAGATCATATAATTAAGTTAATCATAATGGCAAAAAGAAGAGATGGTTTAGTAGAATAAGAATTGTTAAAAATAGAAAAACAAAAAAAATAGCTTTACCAAATCCACTAAAACCCCCAAGATTGAGTGATGGAATCAATGAAAGTGGCAGAAAAGGGATCTAGGAGAAAAAAAGGGAAAAATTAAATTTAGTGATAAAAAAATCAAAATATATAAAAGAGAATTAAAAATTAAATAAAGAACTTATCTTCCATGTGCCTGAAATTATAGTAAGGGCAAAGATCAAGTGTTAGTTAATTAGTCTTTTAAAAATAAACAAAACCCTTAGAGAATAAATTGATACTTGCCAAATCGTATACACGCCTCTATTAAAGCCTAAAACTAATGTTACATGAGATTCTTAGTTTTTTAGTGACAGACTCGCCATTTTCACCCTGACAATATTTTAGAAGTTTTAGAAGAAATATAAAGTAAGTCAGATTTGGATAAGTTAATTTCAATGTTATTAAAGAAGAGGCATCATTAATAATTTTTTGTAAAGCTTCAGAGTTCTCAGAGTGCCAAACAGTATTATCTATATATGCAAGTAGTGGAATAGTTATAGAGTTTGGTGATATGTTAAAAATGATATTGTGTAGTAAACTAGAGGAGATTATTGTTGTATTTTTGTGAAATATATGTGAGGATTAAGTTATAATAAAACTTTCTAAAAAGAGATAAATAGGTTTCTCCTTGTTCAATGCCAGATTTGATAGAGACTGGTAGTGTTAGGCCATGGGCTATAATTATTTTTGCTAAACAAGAGGTGTGTAGTTCTGTTATTAGATTTATACTAGAAGAAGAAATACCAATTCTTTGGCAGGCTTCCTGTAAGCATTTGATATTGATCTTATCAAAAGCTTTAAATATATTCTGAAACAGTATCCAAGCCTCTTTGTTATATAAGATATAGTGTTTTATAGTGTTGTAGAGTATTTGAATAGGTATATATGTTGAAGAGATTTTGTTGCTACATAGTTGAGGTTGGAGAGGAGGTTTTTAGATAAGATGATTTTTTCTAGTCATTTGATAAAAATTTTTGTAAAGATTTTCTTAAAAGATTCTATAATAGATATAGGTGAACTTGATTAAAAGTAAAATTCCAATTAGATTTTTTAGAAATAAGAAAGATATTAGAGGATTTCTAATTGGTTAGAACCTTTTGAAGTTAAAAGCATTTGTTTAGAAAGAGCTAAAAAATTTTTTATGCTGCTAGACTAGCATATTTGACGTGTTCATAGCAGGTTTTAAAGGGCCTTGCTACTTTTTGGTTTGGTAAATCTGATATAGTTTCTACCCATTTCTGAGTTGAAATATCATTAAGCAAATCATTATTAAGCGGTTCAAATTCTGGATGTGGTTGATATAGATTATAAAATTCAGAGAATAGCAGAATTGGAATTAGAAGTTTTTCATCAAAGTAATTAGAGAAGTGGTTATAGATTGCATTAAGAATTTCATTATGTTTAGTTAGAAGTGAGTTGTTTAGAAGGAGATGATCAATATTGATATTGTTATGTTTTTGAAGTATGTTTTTGTAGAAGATTTTAGGAGTTTCGAGATAGGTTTTGTTATGATTTTCTATTTTTTGTTTAATTTCAGAGTAAAGTTCGTGTTAGAATTGA